GATTTGCATTTGGATTAAATGTTTTCTTTTCTCCGGACTGTTGAAGCTCGGTCACTTTGAATGATCACTCTCTTTAGGTCTCACATCTTTGCACATCTAATTCATCTGACTTCATTCTCCCTTCGTTTCATTCGACCTCTCTCGGCGATGAAAGCATGATGTTACCACCTCCGTGTTTTCACAGTAACAWTGTGACAAGAAAATGCAATTCTGCGATTCAGTCAATCAATTTTAGTCTATTAATCTTTATATTTTAATGTCTCGCTCTCTTAGAGAAAAAATAAATAGTTATACTAATAAAAAAGATTGTACTTAAACATGGAGATTTAGGGAAGTAGAGGGTCTGAGAGAGCGAGAGGGGATGGAGGTGTATGTAAGGAGGGACTAGTGGYTGGCTTTGAACAGGTTTTTCATATAAAAATCTAAAAAGAACTGATCAATTATTTTGCAATGTAATTAAAATGTTATTGACACTGTTGTTAAATTGTGTTTAAAGGGGTAAGTTAGTAGGATCATGTTGACCACAGTGCCAGTTTAAGCTTTGAAATATAAGATGCATTCTAAAGAGGATATATCACGCAAAAAAAAAAAAAAACCACGTTTTTAGCTGTTTAATGCATTTTGTACTTGGAGTCGCAAGTTGTGCAGAAAATTAGAATTTAGTTTCTCTGTTTGGGTCATTGTTTTCAACCCAACATTTTCTGAACGATGATGCCACAATATTTTCAAAGAAACTGCCAAATAAGGTCTGGACTTACTAACTATAAATTCATTCTCTGGTTCTGGGTCAGACTCTGGCTCCAGCATGTAAGGCTGGATGGACAAGTCGGCCATTGTTGACATCTTTTAATTAATTTGTAAACCCCTCTATCAAACTAGAATGGACCACTCTGGATGCTGGATGGGGGCGGAGTGTGAAGTYCCTCGTTTGGATTTAAAGAGACAACTTAAAAACGAGTTGATCTGTGACTTACCTCAGAAAGAGGGGCTTGTGGAGTTACAATAAGGAGGAATCCAGACTAAAGCATTGCAGTTCCACTTTATATAGACTCCAAGTGAAGGATTTAAATGTGAAAAAAAAAGATTTAAAAGCATCATATGTCTCCTTTAAGGTCCTCTGATTCTGCTCCTCTGGGAGCCCCCAAGGAGGGTGACTGAAAAGGAGGAAAATAGGAGAGAAATAATGAAAACAGAGATGGTTGAATGTGATGAGGATGAGCTGAAGTGTGGAAATGAATGTATGAGTGGTGAGATAAAGAAGAGGATGGGTGGGGGTGGAAGGAGAAAACGACAACTTTAGTGTTGCAAGGGTGGCGAACTCCATTATGGAGTTCTCCTGGGGACACTCAAAAACCTTAGCGGTGTTTTTTTTTTTTTTTTTTTTTGGCTCTCCTAAAGTTTTTATCCAGACATGCAGTTTGAATTGTGTAGCCTTATGTACACAAGTGTGTGTGCCTTTTTTCAGAGCTGTGTTTGAGGTGGCCTCTGCACAAGTTCAGGACACACAAAGACAACAAAAGCCAAAAGAATGCATGTATGTAACGTCATCTGTTTGTTTATGATCTTGTGCTATTCAGGTAATTTTGCAATCATGCAGAGTTCACTAAACCAAAGGAAAATGAACGCCGATAGAACAGTTGAAGTTTGCTGGAAGGTGAAGTTTCTTCTGCAAGTCAGATTTTTGATCAATGTCATTGACATGGGTGCAATCTGTTTGCACAGCTTTCAGGCCGCGCAGCTGTCCGCTGGGTTTAGCAACGGATAGAAGGAGTGGTCGACACTGAAGCATTACAGTGTTAATGTTCTTAGTCAGGACACACACTCACACACACACACACACACACACACACACACACACACACACACACACACACACACACACACACACACACACACACACACACACACACACACAGAGAGTGCACAAACATCAAAGACAAAGATCCATGGCCAACATTTATTGATCTTCAGGTCTATTTTTGTTGGTGGAAATCATTTGTAACATGAACCGGTCCTCTGTCAAGTTTCAGCCAAAGGGAAATGGGCAACATTTAAACCATGAAGATGAATGAAATAAGCAGGAAGAGGTTGTGCGTGTTAACCTGCAGAAATGAGAAGATACACCAATAATAAGAGCAGACGCTTCCGATGAACACACGTCRTATAAACTTTGAACTCTGAGTAAACCTAATTAACTAAACACACYGTTTGGGGTGCAGATTATCTGGGGCGTGAACGTTGATGTGACCTCTATGAAAACAGGAGGACACAAACACTGGACCGTAAAACCCTTACACCCAATAAAAACTGTATAAACGTTCTCCAACCCCCACACTTTCGGGCCCTACTGTAACGCCAGCTGGATGTGGTTTATGAGTCAGAAAATGAGAAGCAGCAGCACCTGCTCTCAGTGAAGGTGACATTAATTAGCTGCAGGATTGTTGCACATTGATCTGCATCACGTGACTCCYGCAGTGGGTGTGTGATGCAGGGGAGGAGGAGTTGCTGTGTGCAGGAAGTTGCAGCTTTCTGACAGTTAAATCAAATGCTCACTGGTGGTCGTTCTCCCACCCTACCCTGCCCACTTTCTTGTAGGTCAGCAGCTGAACCTCTTAGCTTAATAGCTGGCCAGCTTGAAAAGCAACTTTAGAATTTGTTTTTTTTTCTAAATTTAGCATAAAAAGTAAGAAAATTAAAAAATAAATCTTATGATCAGAGGTGTCAAAAGTATTCYCATTCATTACTTAAGTAGAAGTATGGTAAACTAGGGTTTGAAAACACTTTTTTGAAAGTAGAAGTATCAACTCAAGCTTTTTTACTTAAGTAAAAGTATAAAAGTACTGGTTTTAAAAGTACTTTAAGTATAAAAGCAAAAGTAATGAAATGATAAAAGCCAGTGTTCTATAGCACCCCCCCCCCCCCATTTTTCTTCTAAAGTCAATGAGTATAATGTTAAATTAAAATGTTAATGTTGAAAAATAATTGACTTGTTTCAGCCATGATCTTCATTTTAGGCTCCATGCATCTGCCAGTCTGTCCTGCAGGACTGTGATGTGATTTGTGTCATACATGTGTGATGGAGTGAGTTCAACCCAATAGGGTGTCATATATTTACACTTCTCATCCAACCACAAACTCACTCTATCCATGGCCTCCATGTATCTGGATAGATTTCTATTTATTTATTTATTTATTTTTGAACAATGAAAAGATGGAATAAAAACAAGTCAAAGTTGAATAGAAATGAAATGTTTTTTTGCATTTTTAAAAAAGGTGTAGAAAGTACAGATAATTCAATTAAAATGTAAGGAGCAGAAGTAAAAAGTAGGCAGAAAAATGATTACTCCACTAAAGTGTAAATAACCAAAATTTCTACTTAAGTGACAAAGTTTTTGTACTTAAGTTACTTGACACCTCTGCTTATGATTGGCAACACCTGGATGTAGCAGAAGCTCAAAGCAAATGTAAATAGCAACAGCAAAATAAGCTGTTTGACAGAGATTTGGCAAATTTTTCATGCGTGCAACCCACTRAGCTCTGCTGCTCATCCCACAAATGCATGTTCCTMACAAATGTGGCACCATTTAAAAAGGAAATTAACAGGCTTTCTAATGGAATAGATTTATTGCAAAGAAGCATTGTTACAAAAATTGTCCATACTTTTTCTACTACTTCCTTCTACAAGCTCCACCATTGATGTATGGATATTAGTTTTACTTAAGTCATGTGGAACAATTTGTTAAAAAAATACTTTCATTGGTCCAACTCATAAAACAGCCGAACCTAAAATCTGCAGACACTGTTACACTGCAGCTTTCCTGAACACTGGACACATCTGAATGAACATGAAGAACATYATCCAGCTAAAATGATCACTTACAAAAGGGTGAAAGATACTTTTTATAATTAGAGTGAAGAAAATGTAGACAAGTTATTTTTGATTCAATCACGGTGCATTTAGTAACATCTCTGACTAAAACAATGGAACAAGTGGTAAACAATACTATTTACGAACATTGAGCAGATTTCTTTTTAAAAATTTGTCATAAAATTCAAATATATTTTATGGAATTTATGAACAATGTTTTGAACTTAGAAAGTTTTCAGAACAAAGTGTTAAAAAGGTGAGTTATTTTCCCATCACTGACTGTGCTGTAAAAAGCTGAGTGAGGATTGTGTCACATTCGTACAAAAAACTTTTTTTTTTTTACAAACACTTTAAATGTTTTAAGCACAGATGATGGGCTTGCTGTGCCAAACTGAAAAACAGAGAGGTGAGTACATCAAAGCCAGCTGTGCGTTTAGCCGCCGACACACTGAGCTCTCTCTCAAGGCTGTGTGAAAAAAAACGTCAAATTTGTCCGTCCGGTACAAAAACATTTTTGTTTTGTTTTTTTAAAACATGGCATTTAGTAAGCCGCTCCCAAAAAAACAAAACAAAAACAAAAAAATTTTCCCACAATTCACATTGCAGCCTAATTAATCCGCTTCTTCTTTGCTGGTTTAAAGGCGGGCAGCTCTTCTTCCTCCGACTCCTCCTCTTCCTCCTCACCATCATCATCCTCCTCAGAAAGATCTGAGTGTTCTTCATGAAAGACTGAAAAAAAGGGGGAGACAATTTGAAGTTAAACTGAATCAAGGATTCAGTTGTTCACAGCTGGGAACGTTTCCCTCAACAAGTTCACAAACCGTCCAGCAGGTGTCGCCATTAAGCGATTAAAACTGTGTCGACAATAATGTGGCACACAGTCATCACAGGGTTTTTACTCCCTCCATGAGCAAGATTCAAGCTTTTTTTTAATATATATTTTCAAGTTTTTTCAGCGTGCCAGCTTTTAATACACTTAGTTTACAATTAAGCTCCAAAATATTTTATTTTGGTTAAATTATAAAAGAAAATGGCTGAACAGTAATACTAAAGTGTTTTAAGAAATGAATGCTTTTTTTTTAAAGAAAGGAAAAAAAAAAACATAGGGACTTTAACAACTTAATTATAAAAATAAAACTTTAACTGGAAGGCAACTCAGTCTGCAGTGCATATTGTTGGGTATGCTGTCTCAGCTGCACAATGTTAAAAAAAATAAAATAAAAACCAAATAAACAAGCTTTGATCAAACTAAATAAAGGGAAGGATAAATTGCCACAATATAGCTTGTGGATTTTGTGTTTGTCCCCTTTAGAATAAAAGTAAATTAAGCAAAGAGTTACCAATAAGGTGCAGCCCGCTGATATTGACTGGTCCTGTTCCAGCCTTGAGCCGGATGGTCACCGGGGCTTTCAGCTCAAACTCTCCCAAACTCACCTAAGATCAAAAGAACCAAACTTTAGAGACATCAAACTTCTGCTGGGTGGTCAGCATGTAGACTTCATTTAATACATTACCATGGGCAGGCATTTAATGTGAAGGTTGGCGATGGGCACAGAAATAGTCTTTCCTTGGTGGTTCATGGCTGTTACCTCCACCACATTGCTCTCCTCCTTTGCGCCTTCACCAAGGCAAACCTGAGAGAGAAACAGCATTTATATCCAAGTAAATGCCAGTCAAGGATGGGAAGTTACACATATTTGTACACAAACAACATCATACAAGAAGAAACTAGTCTACCACTGCTAATACATCACATACACGGTGGGTGTGGTCTACATACTGTTCTGAGTTCAAGAAGGTGCTCCAGGTCATCCTCTTCATCAGCTTGGAAAGTGTAAAAGGGTACTTTCGATGACAATTCGCAACCTAGCAATAAAAACAAACATTAAAAAAACGATTAAACACGTAGCAGCATAAAAAGGCAAAAGTAATAAACTGTGGTCTTTTTTAAGAGCCTATATCATTTTTTCGTAGGGACAGCAGAGAATCCACAAACCCACGTGTGCACCGACCGAGCCGCACAAACTAACAGTTTAAACAGTTCTTACTGAACAAAAAGCTCTCCAGCTTCGGCGGTCCGGTTGGGCCGGCTTCCATAGATTCCTCGTCGGTGAAAGACATTTTGTTCAAGGGTCGCAGTTACTTTAATTGTCGGCGTTAATATGAATCCGCCTCGGAACGGCAGCCAAGAGCGTCGCAGAGCATGGGCGCATTTGATACGTCATCAATGCGCGTCTGAGGACTGGATTTGTTTTGTTCCGCCGGAGTCTTCGCAGTTGATTGGATAGTTACAGGTTTGACACGAATTTCAATTAAATTTTATTTTTACCCAGTTTCACTGCATGCTTATTATTATTATTATTAATAATAATAAAATAATTCTGTTGGGTATGTTATTATTTAATGCAAAGATGTGCAAATTTGTTCACATAATCATTATTTAATTTGACCACAGTCTTAAAGTAAAAATAAAACGATTTACATATAACTATTTAAAAATTTCATACTGCTTTAAAGACTTGATCAACATCTAGATTTACACAATGTATCCCAGCTAAATTGAATTAGCTTTGGTTATAATAAACTGATCATTTTTATGCTTTCAGAACATTTAAAACATTTCTTTGCACCATTTCCTCCTTATCTATATACAATACAAAAAAACTACTAGATATTTATGTGAGGAACAGTCACATGCAGCAACTTAATGATTTATTAGTTTTTATTACATATTTTACATAGAAATTTTACAAAGACAAGCGGTTACTCACATCTCAACTATCAGCTCGCGTGGAGCCCTTTCCCAAAACACTTTTCTCAAATCCAGCTGGAAAAAGCTCAAACAGGAGCAAACTACAAAATGCACCACTTTAAAAAGGAAACTAAATGTTTGTTTTATATGACAGAGAGATGTTGATGAATTTCACTCCATGCTGACATGTAGGACAGCTTTAAAGAGGCTGTATGAAAGTCAGCTTCCTATTTAACTTTGAGCAAAACAGAAAATTATATACAAAATAACAACRCGTCTGACTACGTTTACAGAATGTTGAAGCACAACACTATTATGCTTTAAGCTGTAAGTGGCATGCTTCTTCCTCGATGTGGCATCAGATGAGTTTTTTCCCCCCACAAATGTCCACCACAGGAAATCCATTACACCTCATGCACTTCACGAATGTACAGTTTTGAAATATCACACCGACAGCTACAGAAAGCAACTTCCATCCACATGTAACCAACAGGACACTTCTATTAAGTAGACACAGTGCTTCTTCAAATAAACTATTGATTTACAAAAACAAATAGAAAATGATTTGAAGTAGAAAACATCTAAATAGACAAAAAGATTAAAAAAAAAAAACAGCTAAAAACCTTTTAAGTTGCAGATGACCAGTGTGGAATTATCTTCAGTATTTAACCACCAAATTAACCTGAAGAACGCTCAAACTGAGAATACTTTAACTTTTATAAGATGATGAAAAATAAAGATGGGTGACTGACAAATTTCTTGATAAAYGAAACTTAGAATTTTAGGCCTACCTAGTGTTTGCCCTTATAAATAATACTGAATCATATAGCAGAACTGAAATTTTGGTCCAGCTAGGTAGGTGTTGATTTTAACGTTTATTCTTAAAAAAGGAACAAAGCAAACTTGACATTTTAACTATTCAACAAAAAAAAAAGTTTGTGAAAGACAAAACTTCAATATCAATTAGTAAATGTGTAATTATACATAAACTTTACATGAACTTTGTAGTCAGCTGTATTTCTGGAGCTTGACAAACAAAGCACAATATACAAAAATCACTCCTTGTTTGTTGCAACCAGCTGACAACTGTTAACACATTAGATACAGGGAAAGAAAGAAAAAAAAAGCAATTGCTTAAAATTCAAAACCAATAAACCAAAAGGCAGTATATGGAAGGAAAATAAGCAATTTGAAAACCGTTTAAAGTTGTAAAAGTGTTTTGGTTGCTGTTTAAATTTGTACTACATCAACAGAACTTCAGGAGTTTCAGGTTAACTTGTTTACTTGGTGGACTGCTGTGATGTTCTGTATAATATTGCAAAGCATCACGGGCTWCAACTGTCCACCCTTCAAGCGCAGACTCAGAATTCACATTTCTGGATGCACCATTTTAAAAGGTCTTCATCTCTAAAGTGTAATTCAGAACACACACAKAAAAAAAAAAAAAAAAKCATTTAGCCACATCGCACTGAAAGGCAAATATCCTGTTGTGTTAACATTGGTGTCATTTCACTTTGTCAAAAACAAAACGGCAGAATTTGAGGATTACACCTAAGATAAGGGACTCTCATTTCACAATTCTGCTGCCATTCAGACACTGACACTGTGTGTTAGAGTATGGGATCATTTCCATGTAGTGGATACTTGATCTAATCAGAAAAAGGTTTATGGAGGCACCTCTTCCTTCCACCAGGAGGTACTTGTGTAGTGGGACCGGAGGAATCAGTGCTGAGGCACTGCACTCGTATGTTACTGATTGGAGCACTTGCAGATAACTCTTTGGATCTTTCAGCTCAGGATCTGCCAAACCCAACTGAGCGATAACATCAAAGGGCAGCCACAGGTAATCTGTGTCCGACTGCTGTGCTTGTTGACACAAACTGTAAAAACAAGGTCCTTCAAAGGCGAGTCTAAATGGTAATGTGTTATAAAATCATCACAAAAGTTTTTTCTCATGAAGGTAACAAATATTGTTTCAACTGTTTAGACCTGGTCTTTTTCTGTCTACTATTCTATCAGCATGTTTCTTCAAAGGCTGCGTCCCATAATGATGACATCTTTGGGAAAGCCTTCCATTTTGGCCACTTCAAAGCACCCAAGTTTACTATAGAAGTCCAACATTCGCTTATCAGTCTGACGAACCTTGCAGAATGCACCATGGGAGCCTAAAATAAAAAGTGAGAAAATGAACCGCAAGTCCTAAAAGCATCTTACCAAACATTTAGTTTGAACAACCACAGAAGCAGAATTATTTTATATAGTGCACAAAAATTGTAGAGATGTAACTAGAAAGCTGCTACATACCATTGGCCTTAATAGAAGATAACAGACATCCCATCATGCTCTTGGCCACACTGGGATCTGTTACTTTGGCGTGAATGTCAACCTTGATGAGTGAGGGAAAGTTGGACAAGAAGGAGTCTGGAAGACCATCCTCCTCTTCATGGAAACTCAGAATCATCTTCTACAGGGATAAGAAGCAGAGTGTGAAGTAGATTCAACAACAGACAACGTACGACATCTCTAATGATGTCATGATTGTTAGACAAATGGACTGAGGTCATACTTCAGCTTCAGTGAGATCCTTTTCACAGTCAGGTTTGTGGTATTTCTCCTGCATGTGAGGAATCCAGCTCAACTTGCACTTCTTGATGAAGGGTTTCACATCTACAGTGCCAAGAGCGTAGCCGCAGATCCCCTCGTCATCCTCCAGCACAAAACCGTAGTCTGAACTCAGTGACAGGAGACCTCCGACTAACCTGTAAACAGATAGAAAAGATGTGATCAGCCACGTGCTGCAAGAAAGAAAAACTATTTCGGCTTTAGCCAGGTTTGTGTTTTACCTGTCTCCTATCAGGTCAGCGTCGTCCTCAGAGAACGGAACAGCTTCCATTCCTTCACAGTACATTTCTTTACAGATCTTATACACTGCAGTCTGTAACAAACAGTTTTTATTTAATCATACCAGCTCAACAGTGACTGAATGTATTACTGGAGTTCTTGTAAAAAGGAAGGGAAAAAAAGGGGGTGTAAATAGGCTTTTGTGTGTTAAATTGTCTTTTACCTCATCTTTGGGGTAGTATGGCCTTATCGTATAGATTTTGGAGGTCGGCAAAGAAGGTGGAGGTTGGTAGAAAAGATCGTTTGCCCCTTCTATTGGCAACAACCTCTGTGGGTATCAAAACAAAACGGTTCAGTTTRACAGCAAACGGTGGTGTTTTGGATGACTTCCTCAGAGTATATTTGCTAACTTGAGCCACTATCAACCCAAAAGGAACAACAAGAAAAGATTATAAAGAGCTTTGTAATCCACTTATTGCTAATGAAACAGTAATAACTGGTGTTCCTTGTTGATTTGACAGTAGACAACAAGAGCAAACAACTTGTTTTTTTATACAAAGGAATACAAAATGCACATAAATTGTTTCAAACAATAAATACAAGGGTTGTGTTTTGGTCTGACTAAGGCTTTACTGACTGAAGGAGATGCTCCTTTCCCTTTCACAAAGCATCGCAATAGTTCGCTGCGCATGAGCCTCCTGTTGAGAAAAATAATGATGCTGGCGCGAAAATATAGAGAACTCCTGGAAAAACACAAAAGTGAAACCAAATGTAGGCTCACTTCCTGAGCAGCTCACAAGCTGCTTTGTGAGTCTCGGTTGGCATAATAATTTGGAACTGGTCAAGTGTGTTTAATCTTAAGAGTTCTCTTTTTGTGTACATGCTTGCGATCTCGCTGGCGATGCGATGCTTGCGCGTGCGCTTGCAAAGGGTTGGCATTTTGTGCGCTGTGCTTTCCTGCAAAGAAATGAGATGTCGTGAAAATAAAACCTAGCCATGCTCGCTTGCGCCGCATGCGCCACGGAAAAGTAGCATCTCCTTGGTCAGCTGCTGAAAACAAAATTAGTTTTAAAAGGATCAGAACAGGCCACGCCAAACACTTCCTGCATATCCCTTTGTCACTGCATGTTTAAGGTCAACCAATCTTGTTGCAAACATCTATTTTTTTAAATGAAGGGGTTATACCCATTAGATTCAGCTCACCTTTGACAGACCAAACCCTTCACACCTACACATTTACCAGCYTTCTTTTTTTTTTTGCTCCTCACAGCACTTTTTTAAATTCCATTTTATTACCGTTATTTCAGTGCATTAGATACCTGGAACTCTCCTGCTAGACCTCCCCTAAAGGCCCAGGGCTCTTGGTCTCCTTTAAGGAATTGTGCTGAGGACTGACTACGACACCCTGTTAGGAGCAGAGCCAAGCGGACATTGTTACCACAGGATGGGGCTCCGATACAGATGAAAGGAGTGGGGAGATGGGAATGAAGGGGGCAATATGTAATAATACGTAACTATTAGCATTAAATAATATAAATTAATTTTGTTCCATCATTAAAACATAAAAAAGGACCTCTTATAGATTACGCTAGGAAAACATCTTGAAGACTTTGGGGCTCAGGCATCTAAACCTCATCTTTCAAGTGCACCTTTTAAAATCTATTATTTCAGTAGTATCAGACAGCATTTTAAAATGGTCTGCAAGTCCTAAAAATATTATTTTCTACAATATTTTTATTTTCCAGACTAATCATTTTTAAGAAGTTGGGACTTAATAAATACACCAACCAAAGCCAAAATCTCCCCATAATCATCTTTGTATCGCAACAGACAGTTTTAGCTGCCATCACCCCACTAATCTTAGCACCCTGTGTGAAGTCACATTCTCATTTTATCTGCCTTGTCACATGACAGAGAAACATAAGTCATTAAAAACCAGGAAAACAGAACAAGGTGCACGCTCCCCAAGCTGAATGGCATCTCAGCTTAATATTAAAAGCCACTATAAACACAAACAGCAGCAATTACCTAAAGCAGTCACAGCTCTTAACAGTCTGTATGCAACAGCGCTGCCATTAGCAAAATCCAACCCTGGTTGACAAGAAGCCTGTCATGTGACCAGCCAAATGCAGCGCGCGTGCAGGACTTTAAACCTGCTTTATGTGTGAACCTCACAATATCAAATACAATTCCTGTGAACAGCTGACGACACAGCGTGCAGATGCACCCACATGAAGGAACTCTGAACCTGGTGACCCAAATTAAAACCACAAACAGTGATTTTACTTCCATCTGAACCACCAACCCAGCCTGGACTGTTGAATAATCAATGTGTAACAGGAAGCAGGATAAGCCCCCGTTCTGTCCATCCAGCCGTGGTATATTTGAGCTTTGCACTGCAGGCAGTAACATTCCTGAGTAAAAACAAATTTAATGTGGTTTGATTACATTTTGAAGCCAAGTACATGTTCCTCTGTGTAGGTGCATCAGGCTGGTCTGAGCCATTTCTCTAAGCCTACTGACAGAAACAAAAACAAGTTAGAACGATGCTGCCAAAGAGAAAAATTTGGGAGTTAACAATTGGAATACAAACTCGCTGCGCACGCTGCGCAAGATGTGACTTCATCCCGAGGGCTGCTTCCTTTCCTCCAATTGAATCTTTTTACATAAATGAATTTAAAGATTAAAAAATTTTAATTAAATTAAAAATCATAGATCAGTTTCAAACATATACAAAGAAAAAACCAAGACAACGCCTGCACTGTGCATACATCGGCCACTGTCGATCCAGTAGCAGTAGAAACTTGTACTGTGGATTCTTCCATCTGTACGTAGTGAGGGGAGAAAACAGTAGAAAATAGTTATTAGTAAACGTTCTCAGTACAATAATTAGGGAGCGTGTAACTAAGTGCCGGCTGCAAAGCTTCCATTAAGGGGAAAGAAAAAGTACTGATGYCAAAACGAAATAGAAGTCAGCATACTGAAGGTTTTCAAATCTGGTGGTATTAAAGGATGTCCAAATGGGAGGCACTGATTTCTTCAGTAGTGTCAGAGTATTAACAACTATTTACTGATGTATCAGGCCAAAAGTGTCGATTTCTGAAGTGGTTTTTCCAGCGTGGGTATGCTGCCTGCTGTGTACTACTGTTCGCTGAGACGCCAGCTTTACAATGTAGTCGAAGACAGAAACCTGTGAATGAAACTGGGTTACAGGGAGTAACCAACAGGCCATGCTGGTACTTTATGGTTACCAAAACAACACTCCAAAAAGATGGAGGCGTTCTCTCTCAGTGGATGTCACTCAAACTGTATCAAGTGTTCAATATCAACACATTTTGGTAGGAGAGTGGCACAGCTAGTGAAACAGCCGTTCTCTCAGATATAAAAGATGGGAATGACCCTGATACAGATTGAGCCAACAGTACGGAAAGTGAAAACTCTCCAACAGCCTTGTTTTAGAGACTACTCCATGAGGCAGTGCTGCAAAAATGTGCAGCAGTATTTTAAATACAGACTCAGCTTGGTTTATGTACCAGAATGGCCTTCCACACTTAGTCAACTCGCTCTCCAAGCGTGCGCGCGCGCTAGTGCATGGAGGGAAGGGGATGGGCATTTTCTCCTGGCACCCATCCCCGCAGCCAGAGAAATGGAAGTAGCATATCTGAGGGGGACTGCAGCAGTGATGTCACTGGATACACAGCAAGCAGCAGTAAACCCTGCTTGGACAGTCTCCACACAGTCTCAGTTTAGACATCAATAAGGGCAACCTTTTATTGGGATAAACAGAGGGTACCAGCAGTGCAAGCGGCATTCAGTCTGATAAAAAAGCAACAATTAACGTGTGGAAAAAAAAAGAGCTCATCATTGAAAATGGATACCTTTGGCCTGTACTAAGCCAATCTATTACGTCCTGCTGTTCTTCACAGATGGTGGTATTACCCATAGATTTAGTGCTAATAAATGTTTACTCTATGTGGTTCATTGTTACTGGTCAGAAATCACCTGTTAAGCAGATGTTTTTTTTAATTACAAAACTACATTGCTTTAAACTACTGTAAAATCCATGCAGCTAAATAATGTGTGCATCTCTAATTTATTTTTACAAAATGTGTTTCTGAATATGACTACATTTAAGACTAGACGCTAAAATCCATCTTTCTAAAAACAGAGGCCCTTGGTTTCTTTGTATACATACCTAACCACTGAACAAATGACTTGACCATAGAAATGATGCTCTTGATGTCCCAAATGTAAGGGTAGAGGTCATACAGAATGGTGCGGTTGGCGGTGTTAGACAGTCGTGTGAACATGTGGATGACGGAGCAGCACATCTCTTCAAACTTCTCGGCCCGCAGCTGCCATTCTGCAACCTAAATGCGTCAAATTGGAAACAAGGAAACAAAGAGGGGGGGGGGGTGTCATTGACATTATTTTTACAAAGCTAATATTTTTAGTTTGTCTTACATTGAATAAGTAATTATTCAGTTCAGCTCAAGTACCCATTTAACCTACAAGACTACTTACATCACTATTTAGTTTGCACTTATGTTTTTCCACTGTCAAAATGTCATTTGGGGAATAATGTGTTTTTATATGGAAGGTGTTGTTTTAACAAACAGGGTATAACAAGCTGCTGTGCAAACATTACATTCCTCTGAAAACCACACCACCCAGTGGGCAGCCGAGGTAATACACATCCACCATTTTGTTTTCAGCTCCATTATCAGCCAGTTTAGTTAATAATGTATGTTTTCTCACAGACTCTCCTCAGTGAAAGTTTTGTTTTAAATTTAAAATTAAAAAAGCTCACCTTTTCGTTGTCTTTTCTCTTGCAGTTGACACTAACGACGCTGCTGTTAGCTCTGAGCCAGTTAAACTCCTTCAACATCTGCATTGCCTTGGGTCCATGTTCATAAGGCAGATAAAAGAGCTCTGCGAGTAAGCACAGGTCCTCAAGCAAAGGAGGCTCTACTGTAAACAGGGGCTTCTCATCGGGACCAGGCACAAACACATCCTGAGGACACAAGAAAGCAAAAATGTGAAATCTACAATAGTTACGCTTTAAGCTTCACACAAGCTAAAAAAAAAATGACTAATGTCTGCAGTACCTGTTTGAGCTGATCATCCGTCTGCATTGGTGCAATATCACTACCAGAGTCCTCCTGAATCGACTCTTCTGAGGACTTGGACTCTGCCAGACTTTCCTTGTCCGTATCCATAGGTCTCAGGTCTTCAGCCATCTTTTCAGGTAAAATGGGAGCAATAGTTTTCTCCTCGGGATCAGCCTCTGTTTCTGGGTCGTCCTGCTTCTCCACAACCATCTCCATGGGTTCTTCATCTGAATCCTTCTTTTCCACATCCACCTGCACAAGCACACAATGTAAATGTTCATCTGATTCTACAAGTTAGGTGTCTGTACTGTCTTTAACTATGCAAAAGAAACCCTGAGGACAAGAACTGAATCAGTGAGAATGACCTGAACATTTACTCAATTACATTAAGATAAATAAAACTTGAAAAGRTCTCGTTCTCATTTTCAACACTGTGAAACAATAAAACCCACCTCCTCTACCTCCTCTGTTTTTGCCATAGGGTGTGGCAGTGGATCCAGGCAGAGGGCGGGCATTAATGGAGACATAATGGGTTGCTGGAACACAGTTGTGACTGATGTGGAGGAGCAAAGGGTCGGAGCTGCCATCGATGACACGTCGATGAGCGTGCTTTTAGAGCCGCTCTGAGGCACCTGTCGGCCTAAAAGAGAACAGTGTTAATAATGCTCTGATGTTCTCGCTCTCTTCTAAGCGACATTTGTAACACTGGAATTACTCTTACTGTTGTATTGATGCGACACACCAAATTCTCTGAGCCACTCGGTCAGAGCCAGTTTTAGAGCGAGCTGTGGGCTGTAGAGCATGTCGGTCTCCAGCTCCTCATCGCTGCCTTCATTCTCAAGCTTGATTTGGATGGAGACGGTGCTTTCTTCACCATCAGCTGAAAAAGATGATAGAAATAAGGAATAACATTTAATAACCTGTACTATGTTGGAATATTCAAATATATTACAACATCAAAACGGCTGAATAGGTTTATACTTACTCATGACCACATCCTTTCMAACCCCATTCATGTTAGACTTGTACCAAGTAGCCAAAGTGTGGATTGCTATAAAATTTGTTTCAAACTCGCAGTTGGGATTGGTGAGGACTCCCTTTAGTCTTGGGATTAGCTCCGTAGAGCGGCCCTTGTACGGCCCCAAGAAAAGCCTTTTCTGGTCATAATCGTTGGCATGAAAATTGTCCCAGATTACTGGGGACCTTCTTAGGATTTTTGAAACTTCCTCAATGGACTCCACTGAGATTTCTTTAGACACGACTTTGGGGCCTAAAGAAAGACAGCATTTACAAATTAACAGTTTCAGTCGATGACAATTGGACAAACGAGTGTGAGTATAATAGTAAAAAAAAAAGTGCTGATCAGTTGACATTAAACATTTAGACCTACCTGTCCACAACACATCAATGTCCGGTAACAGTTTCTCTCCAACTGTTCGGAGGTAGGGGGACTGTGAGACATTTGGGTAGCAGAAAGTACCACAGTACTCTGCAAAGCAAGAACACAAAAATAACAAATAAACTAGCAGAACAAAACAAAAAGGAGTAAATATATAAACATAGAAGTGGCATACCTGTGGGGCAAAAGAGAAAGGTTTCTGGCTCTCCCAGGTACTGGTAGATTTCATTGGTAATGGAAACCTGAGCGTGCGCAAAAGAGCTGAATACCTCTTTGTCCGCAGGGCACATGTTGTGGTCAATATCGTCAAAAAGTAAGGCAAATGACTTGCAGCCAAAATGAGTAACCTAGAGAGGAAAGCACAAGGTTTGCTAATAAATGGAAGCAAGTTATGATGTTGCTTGAAGATAATGCAAGACACTATTATAGAAAATGCAACCCGAGTAAAATATTGCAAACCTGATCAAGTTTCCTCTTGAGTGCAGAAACTTCTTTCTGATTAGAGAAAGTTATGTCTAATCCAGGTGAAATGGCATAAATAAACTCTATTCCATGCTCCTTGGCAGCGGCAATTAAAGTCATAAGTTGCTCTACAAAACAAGAGTGGAAAAACAAACAAAATCATTTAGCAATTTTGCTTTCCTTATATAAATATCTGAAACATACAGCCTGCTATGCATAAAAAAAAGCACAATTCAATTTTCTTGCCTTTAAACAGCTTATTCTAAAATCTACTCAAAGTAGTCACCTGCTTCTTCCACTGAATAAAGTTCTCTCCAGAACATTCTGTGTTTGTAGTCATCTTTGGGAGCATAAAGGTATGTGTTCAGACCCCATTTTTGTTGCCTGTAAAAGTATGTATTGTAAATAATAAGGATCACAAAACATACTAAACTCTTATAAGCACGGGTACTGAAAAATAGAGATTACCTTCTGAATAACTCTTTCCTCTGTTCCATTGTCCATGGGCGCCCATAAAAGCCTGCATGAAAAATACAGCTTAAAAATCAGCTTTCGTGCAGTCTTCAGTATAATTAATCTACAGTTCCGGTTGGTTTTAATTAGAATAAGAAACAACAGTTTGCCCATGAGTGTGAAAAGTGAAAACACAAGGTTTGTGTGCATATTGATGTCTAATTCCATCTAAATAATCACACTGCCATAAAATTTGAGCAGGCAGCATTATTACTCATAAAAAATTGCTTATGATGTCCTGCCTATGTGGGTCAAACGATTCTGCTATGATTTTCTTTGTATGTAAGACAATTGTTTATCTTGGATGTGATGCTAAAGCTAAATCGAGCACAATTAATATTTTAAATAGAGGTCACATTGTTTTAATCCAATTAAAATCAGTTGACCTGGATTACAAGTCTTCCATCCATACATGCAAATATTTTGAGTTCACACTTATATATATATATATATATATATATATATATATAATCTGCAAAATAAGCCCTAATCTATTGGTAATTTTACAGCAAACAAACTATGTAGGATTGGTGCAGAATTTGAGGCTCTGGTTCTGAATGCACAGGGTAAGCATTGCGTCATTTATTATGTTTCCTTTTCATTACCTTCCACGACGCCACTGATGAATTTTCTGTGGTCCGTAGATTCGACTCCGATGTCGGTGTCCGCCACTGGGCCCGGGGCCTCGACACAAGCCTCTCCAGAGACTGGGCTGGGGCTCGGCTCAACATCCAGCGTTGGAGTCTCCAAAGTCTTATCTTTTTGCACCATCGTCGTCGGCGATTTTTTTCCCTCGATACGCTCACAAAATCCCGACAAATTCAGTGCAATTTGCTAATTGCGGATATTTAACGGGCAAATCCGACCGAGCGGGTCGGTGTCGGAGAAAGAAAAGAAATCGCGTCAATGAATGTTAATCGTCGACCAGCTTATAAGCGAAGCTGTTTTTGTTAAAGTTCGCTTTACGGTTTATACTGAATACAAATGCTAGCGAGATATTAATAAATGCGTGAAAAATATACGCGCAATCAGTCCGTTTTTCGCCGACCGCTCTTCTTCTCCTTATGGTGAATTTAACCTACTTTTTGCTGGTTCTTCCTGTTTACACCATGTACGCATGCTCACGAGACCGGATCAGACCAGTCAAAACTGGATCTACGTGACAAAACACTGCAAAGATCGTATGCTTGCGACAAGATAGATAACCCCTCACTAGGCAAATGCCAACGTTATGAGCACTAAAATTGACAATTTGTTAATTTTCTTCCAATTTGTTTGTTATGTCTGTAGTTAGGTATCTAAGAAAAACTACAAGTGTATCGATACTATTAGTTATGTGTATAAGTAATTCAAATAGCTTCGAATGATTAAAATGGCAATAAAAACGTTTTACTTTCATTAAGATTACTAATAGCACAACTAAACGATGCTTTAACAAATAAACAAAGCTACTTGTTAGTGAAGAAGTGGACAATATTGAAACATTAGTTCGGATGTTATGGTATACTCTGTGATTTTCACTAGTCTACAATGTAATTGTAAATAGCAGTGAAGTATCTTGAGATTCCCAATCATTTTTAGGAATGCAGATAAGATTCAGTTTTCAAACAGGAGATGTGCAGTCTTCTTTTTTCACTGATGTCAGCAAAAATAACCAGTGTCTGAATAACATTCATATGACATTTTACATTCACACAGTTATTGTGTGATGAACAATGCTTTTACATAAATGCATGGGTGGTGAAAGCTGTTGGATTAAGATTTTGGTGAAAGTGTTGTTTTTTTTTCCCTGCAGGCATTTATCACTTTGTCATAGGTGCTGCAGAAAAACCTGACTTTATTTACAAAGAATAGTCACAATTCAAAGCACTTGTGTCATTGATTAGATATTTGTTTATTGAGCACAAGGACTTGTTTTGTTCCTTTAATTGTGCCATTATTTTATGGTGGCAGTCCAGCACACTTCTTACATACGAGGTACTATAGAAAGAACAGCATCATAATGAAGTTCGAAAGCAGCACCACTAAATTCAAAAAGAAAAAAATTGTATAGGTCTTCTGGACGGGTTCTTCTCTAATGAAACGTTTCGTCTCTCCTCCAAGAGACTTTTTCAGTCTGAGAGTTTCCGGCAAAATTCAGGCTTTTAAGCCCT